GTTGGTATGCGTGCTAGAATTCCATCTCATCGCATAATCCTCATCGTTGCTCCCGTAATACTTCATACGTTGCTGATTTTATACCTCCACTTTGGTTTCCATGTAATGCTCGAAGGTAAGTGTTTGCAACTTTTGCCTTGTCAAAAACTTTGGTCGGAAACATTGCCAAGCCGCAAAGTTTGCAATCATTATGCTTTTAGAAATCGACCAAATTATCGATGGATCAGAAGGGAACGCCGCACAATTGATCAAAAATACCATGGTTGCAGAAACATGATTATACTCCAAAAGTTGTTGGTAAAGCCAGTTCCTCAATTAAGTAGCATAATTTTACTTCCCTAAATAACTTTCCCCTGGTCTACATAAAGAACGGATGTGATATTGTTTGTCAACTGTGATTTGTTTTCCAACATATTTACGATATGAATCTTCATTTTAAACGTATCATATTGCTAAACAATGCCTAAAACCTACAACAAAAAAGGAAAAAACTCAACAATGAACTTGATTCTGCAAAAAATAGAAATTAACAACTACGCTGATTATAACAATGACATATGAATGCCGCAAAAAATGAAAAGTTTCCATTGAGCAACACAAGACGGCGGGATTCGACGCTCGATTTTAAGGAAATAAAAGGTATTTTTGACTAAGCTAAACTAACAACAAGTCATGTCTGTTGAAATCAAACGGCAGTTTCTCTTTTGAGTTTGGTTCCGAACATAACCTGTAAATAGCATTTTTTGAGATAATCAGGTGAATACACAAAATGTAGGCAATTACCTCTTTGTTCCTGGCAGCACGTTGTTCCTTCTCAAGCCATTCCATCTTATGTTCATGCTGTGCGACTGCATCCTTCGTATTACGATCAATCATTTGTGGAGTTAATACTCCATCCTCTGATGCATAAGCTGATGCCTAAAAACAACTAGACCTACTAGTAACTGACATAATTAAGCATGCATATGGTGTAACTGCACATCACGTATGAATCTAAGGGTACACATAAAAATTGACGGACTACCTACTGAAGTAATCAGTTTGAATGCTTTAGAGTTTTAGTCACGACATATTTGATGTAAGCATACTTCCCTTTAATTTTTGCGAAAGAGAAACGAATATGTCAATCTTGACAATCTGGGAATAAACGAACCTGCCATCCTATCACAAGTTTGCTGAGTTCTCTTCCACTCATTCCTTCGGTCATATCAGCAACCTTTGCGCACTTTTCTACCCAATCAAAGTCCGCTAGTTTTAAACGTTGCCCTCGCGCACCTGCGAATAATTGATATAACAATAACAAGAGAACATCAAAGAATTTATGTAGAACATGAAATTGGAAATGTCAGAAAGTGGAGACCAAAAACTACTTGAAAGCTTACCACTTGTAGCTGGCTTTGCAATGTGTTCTTCAAAGTATTGCAAAAGGATACGCTCGCGCTCCGGTCTACCAGGAAGTTCAAATTCAACTAATTGATCCAAACTAAATATACATAAGATGCTGCATAAGAACCTGAACAAAGAGCATATGAAGATTTTCGCACCGATCATTAACAGCCCAATCAAACTGCTCAGGTTGATTTGAGGCCACCACAAGCATGAAACGTCTAGACTGTTCTCCGGTACGGAAAAGGAATGCATTCAGAGCGGCGCGAGTATCTTCTGACATGGCCTCCTAAATATACATGGATTTAGATAACAACTTTTCTAGGCAGAACATTTTGGCAAAGCATTTGATGCTAATACCCATTAGAAAAAAATCTAGTTTCAAGTACAATCCAGAACATTACCTTGGATCGTTTTTGAAGAAAAGCATCTGCTTCATCGATGAAAACAATCAGTCTGTAAAATGAATACTTTCAAGCCAATCTAGACCAAAATTGATTAAAATTACCCTTTACGACTGCTCTGAGCCCAGTCGAAAACTTTGTGAATAGCAGAAACTCCTTCACGACCCATAGGCGCTATATCACCCCCCGTCAGTATGGCATAATCCAAACCACTGTGTTGGGCTAGACTTTTAGCGAAAAGTGTTTTACCCGTTCCCGGTGGACCATAGAACAGCACATTACGGAACAATCCCTGAAAATATCATCATAGGAAAAAA